TTCTTGGTATTCCTTTTTGTAAGCTTATTTTAGTTTTGAGATTTCTTTTTCTGGCTTGGTTTCTGGGTGGTGTTGTCTTAATCTTAATTTGTTGCCTTCCATTGTTGGTTTTTTATTGGAAGGACTCCCTTTAACATTTCTCATAGGGTTGGTCTAGATTTTACAATTCCCTTAATTTCTGTTTATCTGGGAATGTCTTAATTTCACCCTCATACTTGAGGGACAGTTTTGTTGGATATATAATTCTTGGTTGACAATTATTTTCCTTTAAGGTTTTGTATATGTCATCCCATTGCTTCCTTGCCTAAATGGTTTCTGCTGAGAAATCAGAGCTTAGTCTTATTGGTTGCCCTTTGTAGGTAACATTTTGTTTTTCCCGAGCTCCTCTCAAGATTCTTTTTTTCAGTTTTGGGAAGTTTGATTATGATACATCTTGGTGACTTTCTCTTGGAGTCTATCCTGTATGGGGTTCTTTGAGCTTCTTAGGTGGATAGTTTCTTCATCTTTCATGATACTGGGGAGGTTTTTTGCTAGCCAAATCTTCAACAATTTTTTGTTGGCTTTTTTTTTTTTTTTTTTTTGGCCTCCTCTTGTTCTGGAATCCCAATCAGATATATGTTATTTATTTTAATATCCCATATAACACTGAGGTTTTCCTCATTTCTTTTCATTCCTTTTTCTGATTTTTCCCCATATAAGCTGGTGTCAAGGGATTTGTCTTCTAGGAAGGAAATGCATTCTTCCTCCTGTTCAATTCTACTCTCTTGTCCTTCCAATATTATTTATCTCCATAATTTTAATGTTCATCTTCTGGATTTCTAGTTTTTTTTTGTATGATTTCTAATTATCTCTTTGTCATTTTGCTCTTATATGATTTTCCTGAATTCTTTTAGGGTATTGCCTGTCTTTTCCTTGCTTATGTTTGTGGTTTCCTTCCTCTTGGAAGGATATATATATGTATATGTATATATATGTATGTATGTGTATACACACACCACACACACTGCCATCAAGTTGATTCTGACTCATAGCAACCCCCATTGGGTTTTTGAAGTAGTGTCTAAGGCACTTGACTGCTAA